TTCCCTTTTTGGGGATTTTTTTTTTTTTTTTTGGGTCACCCTTGGGCCCCGGGGGGAAAACGGCCCGGAAAATTGTTGAAAAAAAAAAAAAAAAAAAAAAAAAAATATATATTTTATATATATATATAAAAAATATATTTTATATAAAAATTAAAAAAAAAAATATATATATATATATAAAACAATAAGATCCAGTAAAAAGGTGATTTTAAAAAATGCAAAACAACCACTTTCTGAAAGAATAGAGAAATTCCAAGCGCTTTCGTGACTAACCCCCGAAAGAGCCCTTTGGGAAATTTTTTCTATTCTTTCGAGTTGGTTTTAGAAAGGCCCCACTTGTTGAAAAAAAAAAAAAAAAAAAAAAAAAATATTTGTAATATATATATAATATATATATAAATTATATATATATATATAAATAATATATTTTATAAATATTTTTATATTTTATATATAATCTATATTATTTTTATATATATAAAATATAATTTTATAATACAATTATAAATATAAAAATATAATATTTATTTTTTTATAAAGTAGGTAGGTAGGTATAGGGTTTGGGAGACAGCAACCACCCCGGGGAAGTACTACCCTCCTGCCGATGAAAATGATGGAGGATTGCTTTGGTTTTTTTTTTTGTCTTTATAAACCCTGATAACAAAGGGGAAAACTTGCTACCCCCTACTTTCACCTTTTGGGCACATTCACAGACACGCACATGCATATTTTATAACCTACATCTAGGTTTTTTCCTTTCCTTTTTTTAAATAGCTCTTGTTCCTCTTTTTTTTCTTTTTTGTCCATGGGGAAGTGGAAAAAAAATTTTTTTTCCCCCGTAAGCCTGCTGTCCCTTTTGAGGCGAACCCCCAAAATGCCGGGGCAATGGGCTAGTAACCCCCTTCCCCCTTTTTGACATTTTTCTAAAAAAAAAAGGAAAAAAAGAAAAAACTTTATAAAACTGGGATGCTTTAAAATTTTTGGGGTGGATGTAGTGCAGATGACAAGAAAAAAAGAAAGATTGCTAATTTTTTGAATGAAATGAAGTTTTGGAAATTCCCCGGCCCTAAAAGGAAACAAAGCCTTTAAGGGGGGGAAAGGGGGGTTTTCGGTGGGGGAAAAAAAAAATGGGGTTAAATTGGAGTATCTGAAGAGTTGAGCAAAAGGAAAGGGGTTTCAGGAAAAGTTGGGAAAGATCAGTTATTGGGAAGGGGAAAAGAGAATTGAATGTTTTTAAAAATTTAAGAAAAATTTTTTGGAAAAAATTAAAAGTAAAGGTTTGGGTGCAGGGAAAATGGGTCATAAAAGCGTGTATGCCCCGGAGAAAAAAGGGGAAGGGAGAGGGAAGGGGAGAGATTTTGGGAGATTTTTAATGAATGTATGGGGCCTTTGAAAACCCGTGAGAGGGTAATTGTGGTTTGGGGAGCTGAAAGCTAAAAATAGGAGAAAAATTTTAGAGGGGGTTTTGGTGGGAATTTGGGGTACCCCGGTTTTTTTAAATTTTTTTTAAGAAAAGGAAGCCCTTTGATTTAACTTTGTATAGAAAGGGGTTTAGTTTGGTAATACATATTTTTGAAAAAAAAAGGATAAATAAGTATTTTCCCGATATGATGTAGGGGGGAAAAAGACAGTAGTTTTGGGTTGGGTTTTTGTATTGGTAGATAAAAGAAGTTAGTAGACTTCCCGGAAAGTACAAAGTTTATAGAGGGGGGCCCCATATATACAGATCAATTTTTAGTTGTAGCTTCACTGAGAAAAAAGGTAGATGGGATACAAGGGAATAGAAGAAACGGGAAGAGAGGTGAAGGGTTTTTTAAAAAATAAAAGAAAGGGGGCAGGGTTTGGGTAATTTAAACCGCTATTGGGGGGATAGTGGGCCCAAAGAAAAACATAGGCAATGGGGGCGAAAAGGTTTTTGGGGTAGGTTTAAAAAAAAAGTGTTAGAGTGCTCCCGCAAAAAATTTGTGGGTTAAAAGGAAAGTTGGGGGGGGGAGGGAAGGGACCCCCTTGGGGGGGAATGGGGGGGATTGGGGGAAATTTAAGGGGTTAAATTAAGGGGGGAAAAAGTTTTGCTATGAAAGTTTTTTACAAAAATAAAAAGTGAAGTAAGGAGGGGGGAAAATATATGGAAAAAAGAAGGTTAAAAAGGGGTGGGTGAAGCAAAAGTAAAAAAAAAGAGCAAATGAGAGAGTGGGTGAGATGTTAACAAAAAATTTTGTTGAAAAAAAAGAAAAATTTTTTGGGAGTGAGATTAACAATTTAAGAAACCCCAAAAAAAAAAACAAATGGTTTTTGCAGTTAAAAATTAGGAAGGGAGAGTTATTAAATGGGAGTTAGAGGTTTGGGAAGATGGAGGGAATATTTTTGAGGAAAATTTTTTAAATGTTTTGAAAATAGGGGAAGCTGTGATTTTTTTGTGTAAAGGGCAAAAGGGGGAACAACACTTGTAGGGGGTGAGGAAAGCCCGTTGTGAGTGTGGGGGGGGGTCGTGAGGCAGGAGGGGAAAATGAAAAGGGGGGAAAAGGGGGAGCCGGGATTGATGGGGGAAAAAAAATAAAAAGTTAAAAAAACAGGTGGGGGGTAAGTTTTTGGAGTGGGTTGGTGCAATTATTTTTAAAAAATGTATGGAAGAGGGTAAGGGACCTAGGGGGGTTGGCCCCAAAAAAGATTTTTAGTTTCCTTTGTAAAAAAGGGCAAAGGGGGGTAAAAGAGAGTGCAAAAAAAAATTTTAAAGGGGGGTAAGTCTGTTGAGTATACCTGGCAAAGTGTATGGTAAAGAGTTTTTTATTGAAAAATTTAAGAGTAAGACGGAAATAGGATACAGATGAACAAGGAGGCTTTTTGGAAAAGGTAGGGGGGGTGGGTGTGGGCCAGGGGGCTTTCAGTGAAACATTAAGTGAACGTATTTAGATAAGGGCCTAAAGAGGCTTTGGGATTTATGGATTTGGAAAAAAAAGGGATGACAGGGTGGTAGGGGGGCAATGGGTGGGGATGTTGCAGGTGAGGTTTTGGAGGTGGTTATGAAAGCAGTGAAGATTTTTACGGGATTTGAGGTCAAGAAAAAGTATTAGGAAAGAGGGAAATTATTTCCCATAAAGTAGGCCAGACAAGGTTGGGGAGTCCCCCCCGTGGTTTTTTAATATATTTAAGATGGGGTTGTAAAAAAGAAAATAAAAAGCGGGGGGTCTTGGGGAAGAGGCGTGGGTTAAAAGTAAAGAAATCACAATAAAAATGGGAGTTGTAACAGTTGCCTTTTGTGAGACACTGTGTCTTGGGAGATTTGAAAGAAGTTGCGAGATTGGTTTGGGTAAATTTTTTGGGTGTGCAAAAGAAGAAAATTGAAAGGTGAATAAGGAAAAAAGTAAGGTTATGAGGATAAAAAAAAGATTTAGGTGAAAAAGATTGATATCAGATTGGAGGGAGAGGGGTAAGGAGGAGGTAATGTATTCAGATATTTTGGGATTGGGGGCGTGTCGCGGATGGGTCATGAAAAATGAGGTGAACATGAATTGAGAGGGGGAAAAGGGGTGAGTGGTGCCTTAGGGGGTTTGGAGACAAAGACTTTGCCTTGGAGGGGAAAAGAGGGGAATGTATGAGAGTTAGTTTTACCAACGCTCTTTTATGGGGGTGAAGCATGGGGGATTAATGTTTTCACGAGGAGAAGGGGTGGGGCATGGAGATGTCATTTGAGAGGAATGTGTGGTGTGAATATAATGCAGAGAATTCGTAGTTTGGAAGTTAGGAGGAGGGCGGGGATTCCCCAAAACTGTTTTTCCAGAGGGCTGAGGAAAGGTTGTTGAGGTGGTTCGGACAGTGGAGAGAATGGAGCGAAACAGAATAACTTCAAGAGTGTATCAGTCTGTAGTGGAAGAAGGCGGGGTAGGGGTCGGGGCCCAGGAAAGGTTGGGGGGGAGGGGGGTAAAAAGGGGTTTTTGTTTGCGGGGCTTGGACTTTTCCCGCAGGCATGCGTGAGCGGTTTGATAGGGAGTGAATGGAGACAAATGGTTTTTAATACTTGACGTGCTGTTTGAGTGTGAGCAAAGTAACATTTATGAAGGGGTTCAGGGAAACCGGCAGGCTGGACTTGAGTCCTGGAGATGGGAAGTACAGTGCCTGCACTCTGAAGGAGGGGTGTTAATGTTGCAGTTTAAAAACTGTAGTGTAAAGCACCCTTCTGGCAAGACAGTGATGGAGTTTAATGATGGTGAAAGTTTTTCTTTTTCGGGCCACCCTGCCTTGGTGGGAATCGGCCAGTGTGATAATAAAATAAATAAAAATAAATCTGTTGGAGAAGGAAGGCGGGGTAGGCGTCGTCCTCGAAAAGGTTGGAAGGAAGGGGTAAGGGAGGTTTTGTGGGCGAGGGGCTTGGACTTCCAGCAGGCGTGCATGAGCGTGTTCGATAGGAGTGAATGGAGACGAATGGTATTTGGGACCTGACGATCTGTTGGAGTGTAAGCAGGGTAATATTTAGTGAAGGGATTCAGGGAAATCGGTTATTGTTATATAGCCGGACTTGAGTCCTGGAAACAGGAAGTACAATGCCTGCACTTTAAAGGAGGGGTTTGGGATATTGGCAGTTTGGAGGGATATGTTGTGTATCTTTATACGTATATGCTTCTAAACTGTTGTGTTCTGAGCACCTCTGCAAAAACAGTGATTATGTGTGAGTGAGGTGAAAGTGTTGAATGATGATGAAAGTATTTTCTTTTTGGGGACTTTCTTTCTTTTTTGGGTCACCCTGCCTCGGTGGGAGACGGCAGACTTGTTAAAAAGAAAAAAATCAAATTCTTTAATAAACAGGTACAGTAGTTCTGTGTAACAATCCAATTAGAAAGATACTAAAATAAACTTTGGCACCATTAACTTCTAAACAGTGATGAAAGAAGTGCAGAAACTTCCTCTTGAGATGGACAAGCAATTATTATTCTGTCATCTTCATCGTAATTATTTAATAGTATATTCTGGATCTTTGAGAATGAACTGAGTATGTTTGTACGTACAGGCTTAAAAAGAATAAATTCAGTATCACGATTGGCCAAATAAAGCTGCATACTGCGCTGAATGTTGGGAAGATGAGTTCGAATATTCTTCTGGCAGCAGCTTATTATATCTGCAACCTGAAAATAAGTATGGTTTTAGAGTAAAAAAGACAACATGCAAAAAAAATATGGGAGTAAGAATTGTACTAAGCATCTCACCAAAAGCAAATTACCACCACGTAATTATAGCAGCATATGCAAAACTAGCTAACCTAAGAAATACTTTCAGGAACCTTAACGAAGATTCATTTAGGACAAACACTTCATGTTCAGTCTATCTTGGAATACATGGCACCAATATGCACTTGATCAAGCATATAAAGAAACTGAAGAAAAATCCAGAGATTTGTAACAAAATTGGTACTGTTACTGAGAGAAATGAAGTACAAGGAGAAACCTCAGGAAATTAACCTAGCAGCACTCGAAGAGAACATCTGATGGAATTTACGATGTACAAAATAATTAGGGTATTAGTGTGTGTTTAATGACGGGCTATTAAAGATGCAAGGAGAGAGAGCGCCAGGGGACAGCTGGAACACAGAGATGTAGATAAGCCAAAAGGAAGGTCAGGAAATACTTTTTACAGTCTCAGGGTAGCAAGTCCCAGACTGATGGCCTGATCAACCAGGCTAATTAGTTTTAGCCAGATGCTGTCCCACATATGCATCACAGGCTGGCTGATAAGGAACTTAGTAAATTTCCTCTTGAAGATGGCTAGGAGTCTGTTGGTAATTTTCCTTAAGAATGAAGGAAGGATGTTGAAGTCTTGGTATTATACACTTATTAAGTTTTGTATATCTTCATGTACTCACTGCACCCTTGCTCTTTACTTGGGTATTTTACAGAGTTTGCCAAACCTCTTGCTTTCAGGTGTATATTATGATGTATCTTTTTCGCTTACATGCAAAGAAGTACAGTTTGAGGGACTGTTACGTCCAGACGCGATTTCTCTATATATGTCTTGCATTTTTATTCATCTATTTAATATTACATTGCGATTATAATCGTTAATAGCTAAAACGATGTTAATCAGCTTTATAATATTACATATTCATTATTATCTTTCTCATGATTTCATTTTATACAGTAGGGCCCCACTTATACGGCAGGTTAGGTTCCAGGCTATTGCCGGAAAGCAGACATCGCCGGAAAGCAGAACGCCATTTTTTTCCACTTATAAATGCACCCACACATAATATACTATGACGATGCTTAAAGCTCCATAAAGTGATAACATCCATATACAGTACACTCATTACTTACCTTAAAATATTTGCAGTCTTAATGTAGGGTGAAAGGTGAAAAGTATTTATTTGTAGAAAGTGGTGTGGTAGGTAGGGAAGCCTGCCTGGCCACTCCACCCACTATGTAAACAAACAGACAATGCATAGCATATAAACATTGCATGTTTATATGCTATGTAATGTGTTTCTTACAAAATTTTGAAGAAAATATCATAGCTGGATTAATGAAAATGTCTATATCATCCTAAAATAAGACATTTAATGTGCCCAAGAGTGATTATTATTACGTGTCCAATACAACCGATCTCCAAAATGATGGCTGAAAACCAGGAGAGAATTTCGGCCAAAAAAGCAGTCGAAATCTGAATTGGCCAATATCCGGAACGGCCAACAACTGAGGGTCCAGTGTATTTGCAAGATAGAAAGAAGAGGCCAGAAATTCAGCTAGAAAGCAAAACATTTAACCCCTTGAGGGTCTGTCCCATAGGTCTACGGCTTTGAAGCCAGGGTCCAAGCTGCAGTACTATGCCATGAGCTCAGCTCACTCAGATAAGCTATGAGCTGAGCTGATGGCATAGAAATTTGGACCTAGATATGAGAGAATTCATCTATATGGTATAAAACAAATCCTGCAGCACGCAGTGCATGAGGAAAAAAAAAACTGCGACTGTGTTTCTGGATTAAAACAGCAACTTTGCAGTGTATATTCATGTTTTTTATGATTATATTTGCAGTTTCTTTGTCTCAAATGATAGAATGGAAGATATATTACAGAAATAGAAATGATTTTCATTGGTTTTAGTAGTGAAAATGGCTTTAAACTGAGCTCAAAGTAGCGGAAATGTTTGATTTTTGCCGATGTTCAAGAGTAAACAAATGACGTCACACACTCAATACATGTCAGCTGGTAGGTCTAATATGCATTCACAAATGCATTGTTATTATATATACAATTATTACAATATTGCATAACAGTAAATCTTCTAAATAACAAAAAAAGGCACAATACCGTGACTGGAACGATACACAAATAACCCGCACATAAAAGAGAGAAGCTTACGACGACATTTCGGTCCGACTTGGACCATTGACAAAGTCACACTAACCAGAAGTGGAGCAGGACGGCTATATATAGGCAGGAAGAGGTGGTGGTGGTAGTAGTACAAGAATGGTATATAATACCGACAAAAAAGAAAAAGAAAAAATGAGGAGTCAGGTTAAGTCACGGGTGTTCTGAAGTTTGGAGCATTTTACAATGTAGTGGGAGAGGAAGGCATCTACAGAGACGAAGCCAGGGCTAAGGTTCATACAAGGAAAGTTGTGTATTAGAGAGGATTCAACTAGACGGCGACTGTTTGAGCTGGAAGTAGGGAAGACAGTTTTAGCAGAAGACCAGTCAACAGGATGGCTATGATCTCTGACGTGACAGAAAAGAGCATTGTTAGTGTCGGCAAGCCTAACTCTATTTTTGTGCTCCTTAAGTCTGTCAGAAAGAGATCGACCAGTTTCTCCGAAGTATTGAAGAGGACAGGAGGAGCAAGAAATAGAGTAGACACCAGGAACATCTGTAGAGGGAGGAGAGGTATGAACGAGATTAGTGCGAAGAGTGTTAGTCTGGCGGAAGGTAAGCTTGATGTCTAAGGGACGGAGAGAATTGTTGAGATTAGAAAGACCGGAAATGTAGGGAAGGCAGAGGATAGAAGAGTTCCCAGGAGTAGAGTGTTTGGGAGAGAAGAAATTGCATTTAGCACGTGAGAGGGCAGAGTCTATGAAATGGGAAGGGTAGCCAAGATGGGAAAACGAATTATGAAGAGTGGAAATTTCTGCTGGAAGGAACTGAGGATCACAGATGCGGAGGGCACAGAGAAAGAGGGAGATAAGAACGCTTTTCTTGACAGGGGAAGCATGATAGGAAAAGTAGTGAATGCACATGCCATTGTGCATAGGTTTTCGGTAAACGGAAAAGGAAAAACCTGTATCTGAGTGGTGGACATGGACATCAAGGAAAGGAAGCAAGGAATTAGATTCCCATTCAGCTTTAAACTTAATGGAAGGGGCAAGATTATTAAGAGCTTCAAGAAAAGGTTGGAAGAGATTGGAGTCATGAGGCCACAGAGCAAAGATGTCATCCACATAGAGGAGCCAGAGTGAAGGTTGCACATCAAGGGTAGGAAGAAGAACAGTCTCGAAGTACTCCATGTAAAGATTAGCAAGGACAGGAGAGAGAGGAGAGCCCATAGCGACACCGAAGGTTTGAGAATAATATTTCCCTTGGAAGGAAAAGGAGTTAGAGTCCACACAGAGGCGGATAAGATCAAGAAAGACATCAGTAGGTATAGGGAGATGAAGAAACCCTTCATGGGCCTTCTCTCTAAGGAAATCAAGGACATCATCAAGAGGGACATTGGTGAAGAGGGACTCAACGTCAAGACTAAGCATCTTACAGGTTGGGAGAGAGCGAACCCGTTCAATGAAGTCTTGAGAGTGACGGAGGTGGGCAGGAGAAAAAGTACCAAGAAAGGGAGTGAGGGTTTTGGCCAGCCAAGAAGCAAGAGAATAAGAGACAGAGCCTCTAGAGGATATGATAGGACGAAGCGGAATATCAGGTTTATGAGTTTTGGGAAGGCCATAGAAATAGGGAAGAGAGGGACAGATGACACGAAACCATTGAACAAGGTCAAAGTCAGGAGGACAGAGGTCGGAGAGAGTCCTTAGTTTTTTGTGTATAGTAAATCTTCTATTTTTTGGTATGAATATAAATTCCTTATGTGAATAAAATATCAAAATGGAATTCATTTGTAAAGCCTGGAAACAACTAATAAACAGAGGAAATGTTAGTGTAGTGCTAGGAATGCCTGCATTGTTTATTCTGGACCCTATTTTGAAATTGGAATATTTTGAACTTTGTGTGAAATTGGCCAAATTACCAATTTCTGATCACATTATTGGGTAGTTGAAATAGTTGACTGGGCAATTTCTTGTGCTCACTCAATAAAATAGAAGTAATGCTAGTAAAATAGCTAAGAATTTGGTTGACTGGAATAATGTAATTGGCCTAAAATGGGAGTCAAAGTGGGCAAAATCACCGATGCGTAAATATCGCTGACACAGCAAAATGCGCGAGAGCATAATTTCGTCAATTTTCCATCAAATTTCGTACTTTTTGTTTTATTACCTTCAGAAAAAGATTCTCTACCATTTCATGAGATTTTTTTTTTTTGAAAATTCTTGGGCCCTGTGGACGAGTTTCAGACCCTGAAAGGGTTAACTGACAGGAGGGTAGTACTCTGCCTCCCTGGATGGATGCTGTCTATAACCAAAGGCTATCCTGAACTCAAATGACATAAGCATTGTAACCTGTGTATGTGTATTGTAGAAGAGAATGAGGAAAATCTTTTGTAGGAAAAAAAAAAAAGCATATGAACTGATTTCAACATTTACTAAGGAAGAGTTTTACCACAAATGGTTTCTTCAGTCCTAATAACGACTGAAGAAGCTAACAGTGGTAAAATATTTCTGAGGAACTGTCTTAATCAGTGCATGTGTTTTTATATCACCTTATCAGTTCCACCAACAAAATCTTACCTTTTCAGGTAAAGCAAATGGCTGATTCTTGAGGATAATAGGTTTAACATTTTCTTCTTGGTTCATCTTCAGTATAACTTCTGTCTTTGTTAGAAACAGAGTTAGTGGACTAGACAGTGCTTCAGTGCATGTGAAGATCAGCAATTCACACAACTTTTTCAATCTATTGTCTAGATCTCTCTTTGAATCCAGCCTCTGCTCTGTCACCTGGAATATCACAATATTATTAATCAGGCCATAAATACTTTTTCATCTGACAGTGAGAAAAGTGTTAGTAAGTACTGTATATCAAGAAACTCAATATTAAGCATGGTAGTACAGGTCACCAATCAGGTACATTCCAGGCTAGTCATCCTATTTTTTCCTCTATCCTCCCTATCTCCAAACCACCTCAACAATCCCTCTGCCACATTAGAATAATACTTTTGGTAACCTCGCACCTTCTAATATTCAAGCTGCAAATTCTCAGCATTAATATCCACACCATACATTGCCCTCTAATATGATATCTCCACTGCCTCCAACCTCCTCGCTGCAATGTTTAAAACGCATGATTCACACCCACATTAAATGCTGGTACCACTATACTCTGGTACATTCCTCTTTCTGCCTTCATGGGTAAGTTTCTTTGTCTCCACAGATGCTTCAAGGCCCCACCCACCTTCTTTACCTTGTCAATTCTACGAGTCACCTCCTCTTTCAAAGATCCATCTGCTGACAAGTCCACTCCAAAATATCTTGACATATTTACTTCCTCCATGCTCCCTCCCTTCAATCTGATAGCCAATTGTTCACTGTATAAATTTTTTGTCATTTTCATTATCTTGCTTTTTCCTATGTTCACTTTTAAGTTCCTTCTTTTACATCTGTCACTGCTTCCCTATCCACCCTATCATATGCCTTTTCTAAATCAATAAATGCAACAAAAAGTTCTTTACCTTTATCTAAGAACTGTTCACTGGTAAACACTTGGACTACAAATCCCCAAACTTTTTTTTAACACATTGGCTGTTTCCCACCAAGACAGGGTGACCCAAAAAGAAAGAAACATATTTTCATCATCATTCAATGCTTTCACCATCACTCATACATAATCAATGTCTTTGCAGAGGTGCTCAAATACGACAGTTTAGAAGTCCCTCCAAACTGCCAATATCCCAAACCCCTCCTTTAAAATGAAGGCACTGTACTTCCCATTTCCAGGACTTAAGTCCGGCTAACCAGTTTCCCTGAATCACTTCAAAAAATATTACCCTGCTTACACTCCAACAGCTCGTCAGGTCCCAAAAACCATTCATCTCCATTCACTCCTATCTAACATGCTCACGCATGCTTGTTGGAAGTCCAAGCCCCTTGCCCACAAAACCTCCTTTACCACCTTCCCTCCAACCTTTTCGAGGACAACCCCTACCCCGCCTTCCTTCCTCTACAGACTTATACGCTCTCCAAGTCATTCTACTTTGTTCCATTCTTTCTAAATGACCAAACCACCTCATCAACCCTTCTTCAGCCCTCTGACTAATACTTTTAGTAACTCCATACTCCTCCTAATTTCCCCACTATGAATTCTGTGCATAATATTTACACCACACATTGCCCTTAGACACAATATCTCCACTACCTTCAGCCGCCTCCTCAGCGTAGCAATTACAACCCAAGCTTCACACCCATATAAGTGTTGATATCACTTTACATTCGTACATTCCCTTCTTTGCCTCCAGGGATAACGGTTTTTGTCTCCACAGATACCTCAACGCACCACTCACCTTTTTTTCTTCATCATTTCTATGGTTAACCTCATCTTTCATAAACCCATCCGCTGACAAAGAGAGGGGTGGGATTAAATTATGGGGAATCAAATACAAAATGGGAGTTGACACAGTTACTTCTTGCTGATGATACTGTGCTTATGGGAGATTCTAAAGAAAGGTTGCAAAGGTTAGTGGACGAGTTTGGGAGGATGTGTAAAGGTAGAAAGTTGAAAGTGAACATGGATAAGAGTAAGGTGATGAGAGTATCAAATGATTTAGATAAAGAAAAATTGGATATCACATTGGAGAAAAGGAGTATGGAAGAAATGAATGTTTTCAGATATTTGGGAGTTAATTGTCAGTGGATGGGTTTATGAAGGATGAGGTTAACCAAAGAATTGATGAAGGAAAAAAGGTGAGTGGTGGACTGAGGTATCTGTGGAGACAAAAATCGTTATCCATGCAGGCAAAGAAGGGAATGTATGAAAGTATAGTGGTACCAACACTCTTATATGGGTGTGAAGCTTGGGTTGTAAATGCTGCAGCGAGGAGGCGGCTGGAGGCAGTGGAGATATCCTATCTAACGGCAATGTGTGATGCAAATATTATGCTATGCAGAGAATTCGGAGTGTGGAAATTAGGAGGAGGTGTGGAGATACTAAAGGTATTAGTCAGAGGGCTGAAGAGGGGTTGTTTAGGTGGTTTGGTCATTTAGAGAGAATGGATCAAAGTAGAATGACTTGGACAGCGTATAAAACTGTAGGGGAAGGAAGGCAGGGTAGGGGTCATTCTCAAAAAGGTTGGAGGGAGGGGGTAAAGGTGGTTTTGTGGGCGAGGGGCTTGGACTTCCAGTAAGCATGTGTGAGCGTGTTAGATAGGAGTGAATGGAGACGAATGGTTTTCGGGACGTGACGAGCTGTTGGAGTGTGAGCAGGGTAATATTTAGTGAAGGGATTCAGGGAAACCAGTTACTTTTATATATCCAGACTTGAGTACTGGAAATGGGAAGTACAATGCCTGCACTTTAACCCTTAAACTGTCCAAACGTAGATCTACGTTCGCCTGCATGGCGCTCCGAATATTTTGAAAAATAAAAAAATCGTTTTTTGTTTTTAAATTAAAGAGGGCAATTTTCTGTGTGGTATAAGACCAAAAAAAAAAAAATTTTTTTAGGACCGGTACTTACTGAGATATAAGACCGTGAAGTTGGCTCTGGATGCTCACCTGACGGCAACACCCAGTCCTGCCACTTGCAGAAGTGTTGACAAGTTACCTTTTTTTCTCGTTTTTATTTTAATTTATATAATTTTTATTTTCTGATAATTACAATGTATAATAGTTCTTGTGATTTCATAGCCAATCTTCGTTCTGACACTAATATTATGTACTGAAATAGTAGCAATCACACTGACAGGTGAACATTTTCACCTGCCTTGGTCATTTACTATTGTCTAGAAATATATACATGTACAAAGCATTTATAGGTCCCAGTAATGTTTTAGACATGCTGGAGTATGAACCTCCTTGAAGCATGGTGTCATGAACCTCCTTGGAGCATAGTGTTATGACACCCTTGCCTTTATATGTTTTTACTCTTGCACACAAACATGTCTCTGTATGTCTGTAACATCTATCTGTCTGTCTGCTTAGCTCTGCGTATTGGTCTGTCTAGTTCAGCTTATCTGTCTTTCTGTCTTCTGTGTGTGCCTTGACGAATGGTTGTTATGACAAGCGTCAGATAATAAGTGACATCTGATGAATGTGCACTGCTGGCTGCTGGAGGGAGCAACCTTGCCTTCATCTGCTTTTACTCTTGCACACAAACATGTCTCTCTATGTCTGTCAGTCTGTCTATCTGTACATCTATCTGTCTATCTCTGCTTATCTGTCTGTCTAGTTCTGTTTATCTGTCTTTGTCTGCCTGTGCGTCTGTCTTTCCATCTACTTGTCTTTGTCTCAGGGAGTGGCTAGTAAACCTGTTGGTTTGTGGTGTATGGGCCGCTCCCTGATTGCTGAGCAAAAGACACTGCTATTACTTGCATCACGTTTATTTATGTCTTATATCTACAAACACTGTATAGCACTTGGCCTGGAATTTTTAGGTTATCCTAGGTAATTTACATTATGTATAATAACTGTATTTATGAGTATGTACATGTGAGAGACAGTGATATAGACAGAGATACAGATAGACTGATATAGACAGACAGAGATATAGATAGAGATATAGACAGACAGAGATATAGACAGATAGACAGAGATATAGACAGATACAGACAGAGACAGCCAAAGCCAGCCAGCGGAATACATAAGAACATAAGAAAGAAGGAACACTGCAGCCGGCCTACTGGCCCAAGCAAGGCAGGTCCATGTCACCCCCCCCGGCTTAGACCAATGACCCACCTAGTCAGGTCACATCCACTGAAAGAAGGAGCACGACATCTGACCTAGGGAGAGCTCGGCCGGCATTGGTGGAGTGTGGACGTGTCTTCTGAAGGTTCCTCAGTTGTTCATTGGTGGTGTAGGCCCTGTTTAGGCTCTGCTTCACATTCTTTCTTTTCTTGTGTGCTTGAGTTGTCATTGTCTTCTCCATCAGGCGGTGTTGTGTGGCCCATTTATGGGGAGTTTGACTGAGATGTTGTTCGCCCCCATAGGGAGGGACCCCCCTCCTGTCTCTACTTGGTTGACAACTGTTTCACTACCGTCGGACCAAGATATGGCTAGTGTGCCCCCTACTGGGATAAACAAACGGGCCCTTGAGGTTGACAACAGTACCAGGCCCCTGTCTAGCCCAAAATGCCAACTCACCACTTGTCTAGACTATGCTCCTTCTCCTTACATTACTCCAGACGTGATGGTTGTTCTTGTGCGTCCTAAGGATGGCGGTACGCCCTTCACCAACCCACGGGATGTCACCAATGCCATCAGTGGATCTCCTTTAGGCAAGGCTTGCATAGATGGGGGTGTCCAACAACTCAGTAGGGGTGCAGCCCTAAGGCTCCGGCTCCATTGTAAGTCTTTTCTGGCTAGAAATTTGCCACTAAATGCCATTCATGTCCTGGGTAGGTGGAATGCTGTCTGCTGGGAGGTCCGCTCCTCAATCCTCGCCGCTGGCTGTTGTTACGGCAGAATTGGACCGATTTCTACATCCCTCTCAGATAAGGAGATCCACTCTGAATTGGTCCATAGCGGGGGTGACAACTTAGGTTTGCGGGAGGTTTGGAGCCTCTCGAATCGTCCTACCCCATCTCGTATGGTTCGTGTATGTTTCTCGGGTGCTCTCCCGAAATTTGTGACTTTTGGCAATCTAAGATTTCCTGTTCTTCCTTATACTTTTCCTTTACTCAGGTGTCGGAAATGTTTCCTTTTCGGGCATGGAGAGTTGTCTTGCCGTGGTAAGGTAAAATGTGTGAACTGCAGCGGGTTTCACCCAGTAGTTAAAGACGGCATTACCTG